CCAGGGTGGCGCCATTCGATTGTCGGGCACTGTGGAGAATGGAGTGCGGTGGCGGAAACGGAAGTGAATGTGGATTGTTCTGCTGTGCGATTTGCTGTTGCTGGTGTTGCTGCTGATGCTGTGAGCTTTGGTTCAGCTTCAAGGAGGAGGAGGCCGAGGTGGTGGTGCCGGTGTTCGCCGCCGTCGTCGTCGGGTCCCGTCGAACGGAGGAGTTCTTTCGGGAGGTCTGATTGGCCGAGCTAATGGAGCGCCTCTGCAGGCGTTCCAGATTCCTATGCGTCGGGCCCCAGTTCTCCGAGGGCTGCATGAGGGCGTTCAGTTTCTGCAAACCCAGTGGTTAAAAAGGTTAGATTACAAAAAATGTTTGACGAATCTTCTTCTTTTTTTTAATACCTGCACAAAGGTCTTATTCCGTCCGCCCTTGTACGTCAGGTAGGTGTAGAGAATGGTCAGCAGGATGATGACGGTGGGAATGAAGGCGAGGCCCCAGCCGAGGCGGTCCGCCCACATCGGGTAGAGGTAGTTGCCCTCACGGGCCGGTTCATGCTGGATCCAGTTGAAGATGAGGATGAACTAGTGGAGGCGAAAGAAGATAAAGATAATAAAGTTTTAGAGCTTAAGAAAAAAAACCCTTTCCAAAACGTACAAAGAGCGTCGCCGGCGTGACCACCTTCCACACCCAGGTCCAGCACCACTTCCAGCGGTCACCTCGCGGGCCGATCATCTTCTCCACGTCGCGGAGGAAGCGGTCCGCGCCGTAGTACCAACTGATTAGCAAGCACTCGGTGATGGCGATTATGAGCACGCTGAAGTTGGCCGCATATTTGTCGAAGAGACCGAGCCAGAGGACTCCGGAGCCGGTGGTGAAGATCACCCCACCGGCGTAGCCGGCCGTGCTGACCAGCACCAGAATGGCGAACTTGTGGTGGCGGAGGCGGGGAAAGCGATCGAGGACGGCCGTCTGGACCGTCTCGAGGAGGGCGAACTGCGAGTCAAGGCCGAGGGTGATCAGCATGAGGAAGAACATGAAGGACCAGAAGGGGGAAATTGGCAGGCGGCTCACCACCTCGGGGTAAACCTGGTAAAGAAGAAGATTAAAAGGGATTTTAAATCACGATTTTCAGAAAGTGGTCCACAGGAAAAATCGGTTAAAATTACCATAAAGGCGAGGCCGACGCCCTCGTTGACCACCTTCTCAACGGGCACCTCCAGCTCGTGTGCCAGGTAGCCGATGATGCTGAAGACGACGAAGCCGCTGAAGATGCTGGTGCCGGCGTTCGCGAAGAGGACCATGATGGCGTCGCTAATAAGTTGAAAAAAAATGTTTAAAGAAATGTTAAAAAAAACCTCTAAAGCTGAGCTTACCGAAAGCAGTTGTTGTTGAACTTGTTGTAGGAGGCCAGCGTAATTAGGCCGCCCCAGCTGGGCGAAAGGGCAAAGAAAACCTGTACGGCGGCGTCGCCCCAGACCTAGTATACAAAAGATAAAAGATTTTTAGTACAAAGGCTTTTATNAAAAAAAAATGTTTAAAGAAATGTTGAAAACCTCTAAAGCTGAGCTTACCGAAAGCAGTTGTTGTTGAACTTGTTGTAGGAGGCCAGCGTGATCAGCCCGCCCCAGCTGGGCGAGAGGGCGAAGAAAACCTGTACGGCGGCGTCGCCCCAGACCTAGTAGAAAAAGATAAAAGATTTTTAGTACAAAAAAGGTTTATGTAAACAAACAAAACCATCATCCTCCTATTTTCACCTACCTGCGCCACCGCCAGCTGACTGAAATCCGGCTTCACGTAGAAGAGAATGCCCTCACTGGCACCCGGCAGCGTAATGCCCCTCACAAAGAGTATCACCAGAACAAAGTAGGGAAAGAGGGCGGTGAAGTACACTACCTTCCCGCTGGACTGAACTCCTTTGCACAAACAAAGAAAAACCATCAACCAGGCGGCTCCTAAGGAGGCGAGCAGGTGCCACTGAATGGGGCCCATCTCCTCCAGGGTGCCAATGTTCCCCAGCACGTAGTTGTTGAAGTACTCATCCGAGGGGCTCTTCTTCATCGAGTGGTGAACGAGGTCGGTGATTCCGAGTCGGGTGGCATTGAACTGGTCCCAGCAGGTGCGGTTGAAGTAGGTGGCATTTGGATCGGCGGCCAGGCAGTCCTCCTTGTCCTTGTGCGAGTAGCAGAGGTCGGTGCTCCAGGCGGGGTCGCACCGGGTCCACNGAGTCGGGTGGCATTGAACTGGTCCCAGCAGGTGCGGTTGAAGTAGGTGGCATTTGGATCAGTGGCCAGGCAGTCCTCCTTGTCCTTGTGCGAGTAGCAGAGGTCGGTGCTCCAGGCGGGGTCGCACCGGGTCCAGGGGAGCTCGGTGATGCGCATGCTGATGAAGAGGTAGTAGAGCGTCCAGGCGATGATGAGATTGTAGTAGAGCATGACGATGGCGGAGACGGCGATCATGCCGTAGCCGAGGCCGGCGAAGAGGGGCGAGAAGCGCTTGAAGATGACCACCGGCGAGAGGGAGGCGTACTGGCCGAAGGCGAGCTCCATGAACATCAGGGGGAAGCCGACGAAGGCCATCATCGTCAGGAAGGGGATGAGGAAGGCGCCTGAGCAGAGAAAAAAATTGTTGAAAAATTGTTTAGGAGTTAAATTGGGAGTTTTTAATTATTATAGAAGATAATAAAAGCATCCGCTTACCACCGCCATTCTTGTAGACTAGATAGGGAAAGCGCCAGACGTTTCCGNTGAGGAAGGCGCCTGACAAAAGGAAAAATTAACGAGAAAATTTTAGTGTAAAGTTGAGGATTTTTTAAAATAAATTTTAAAGCTTTTACCGCCGCCATTCTTGTAGACTAGATAGGGAAAGCGCCAGACGTTCCCCAGGCCCACCGAGTACCCGATCAGCGAGAGGCTGGAGTCGAAGCGGCCGGCCCAGGTTCCCCGTTCGTCAGCCTTGCCGCCGCCGCCGCCGCCACCGCCGCTTTCCAGTGAGCCCTTTCCGCTTCCCTTCCTCCCCGCGCCGCCGCCCTTCTTCGAGGGGGGAATCTTCCGCAACGAGGGAAGTCGTTTCAGGGGCTGGTGACGACGGGTTCGTTCGTCCTCCTCCTCCTCGTCGTCGTCGTCGTCGTCGTCATCGTCGTCAAAATTGTCAACTTCCTCTTCTTCCTCTTCTTTCTCCAAGTTTAGTCGGTAGCCGTACATGTGTGGCGGCGGCTCTTCCACTGAAGAGCTGCGACTGTCGTCGTAGCCGGCCATCGTCCTCGGCGACAGTGGCA